GGGGGGGGGGGGAGGGATACACGTGATTCATTCTACCAGTTGTCGGTCAACCACTCTGCCTCAGCAGCTCTCCTCCTCCTTCCATGGGACACATGGTCTCCCACGGCAAAAACACAACTTGGCAATCGACCAGATAAAAAGTGATCCGTCCTTTACTGTGTGCTGCATTGAAAATATATAATAAATATAATTGACCAGAGCGTTTGCACGCAGATTTGTGTAACACTGAGCCTTTGTTACCCCGGGCTTTTCTAAAATTAGGGACGAGGATGTGATAATACATAGACAGAATATGTAGCGTCCCAGGAGTGAACTTGGCGGACTGAAGATGCGTGCGTGTTTGCCAAATGTTAGTGAGGCAGCGATGACGGGAGTAAGAAAACAGCCTCTGTTCAGATAAATACATCATCCCCGAGCAACTTAATTTCTAGTGAAAGATACTTTGTAACCGATGATGCTCGTGAGAAAAGTTGTATCTGACTTATTTCTGTTGCCCACGTTAACTATTGTTGCAGCAAGTGACAGATGAAGTCAAGAGGCTATTTGGCATCTGGGTGTCAGCCAGCGAAGAAGCCGAAAGCATCTGGACTTATTAACAGTAGATCTCACACAAGAGCTCGGCTTTAAATCTAGCTGGATGGCAGGCAGGCATGAGGGAAGCCCTTATGGCTGCACTGTACAAACATGTGCCATCCAGACCAGCCAGACCACAGCTTCTTCTTTTTTTCCATCTGCGGGAGCTCATTTCACTAATGGGTGGGTGATTTCTGACTGACAGGAAATTAACTGGGGGGGGGGTACTTAAGTGGAGCCGTCTCCTGTTATTGTGAAATGCACTTTGTTTACAGTAAACCTGTGGTTGTTTATGCATCATATAAACCTGAGATGTTCTATGTGCAATAATGTTAACCTGACATTTAGATGCACTACACAGTCTCAGTGTATCCATTGTGTTTTAACCTGGAAAAAAAAAATAAAAAAATCAGACAATGAAGACAGTTGCAGCCTCCGTGTACAGCGTTCGTTTGAGAGTCAGTGTAACGATAACAAATCCACAGACTGGAGCCCCCCTCACCTCTCCGGTTCATGGGCCGTACACGGACGGCCACCTTGACGTTGGCGTCGTCCAGGCTGGGCTCCCCCATGCTGACTCCTTACACGGGCAGGGGAGGTAGCGCTGATCCCAAATAAAATCAGCTCCTTCGGCTAAACGATCATCCAAAAGCCTGGAAATGTCGCGCTAGCCGGACTGTCAGCCAGCTAGCTCCGCTCAGCTTTGCTCCATAGACGAGGCATGTCCACGGGGGGAGAAAAAAACAAAAAAAAAAGCCTGGACAGAATCCCGCAGGAAGCCAGCCTCCACCGCTGCTGCTGCTGCTGCTTATCTTCTTCTTCTTCTGCTCATATTCCAGGCTAATTTAAATCCACAGAGGCGTGGACGCTGGAAGGAAAAGGAGAAATGTAAATTATGTACGATGTTAAAGCAGCTGGTGGATGTGACCGAGCAAACACATGCTATCTGCAAAGGCACGGAATAAAAAACGGGCTAGCCAGCTAATTTGCCAGGCAAACTGAAGGGTAGTAGCGGCAGGAAAGGAAGAACGTTTTGGCCATTTCCTACCGATTGGCTACATAACATCCCCAAAAAACAACCCCGCCTTCGAGCTACGCACCTTGGTGGATTCATCCCGGAGGTGACACCGCTAACCTACACGTATAACGGAGAGAGATCGCCAGAGAAGCGCCTGGCGATTATCTACTTCTTCCCAATGGAATCCACTCCGTCCTCCCTCTGCGTTGAGCTAGAGGCAGCGAGCAGCATCCGCTCTTCCGGCAAAATATTACCCCTTCAAATTAAAAGCGCGTTGGTTAAACTCTCGTCTGTCAAACTCAGTTCTAAGTAGAATATACATTGTTTCCACACAACACAATAAGAGTAACTTTTAGGACGAGACGAGTAGCCTTATAGCTAAAACATAGATACTTTTAGCTAGTCCTGACGCATTTATTTGTTCGTTGAACCAAACCACCAAAGAAGGACCGCTGTCAAACGCCGATGAACTGTACGACCACTTCTGGTCACACGTCAGTTTAATTCAGTTTTAAAACTACCGTCAAATAGGAATACAGTTTAACGTTAGTTCAGAAACCCTATAATCGGAATTAAAAGATAGCGATAGGGAAAATAACGTGAGCTAAAACCCTTTACGTTACCGCACACTGCCTCACCTAACCTCTTCCACCATTAACGTTCACAACGTTAGAGGAAATTATTGTTTTCACTAGAAGCAGCTGTTTACATTGACTTATTCGTGTACTTTGGTCGACAGTATCTGTTGAACATGTTTCACGTTACATCTCTTAGGTTTGTGGTTAATGTTGCCGTTGCTGCAACCAGTTTCCACAGGGGGACATTATTAGCTACAGCCCCGGTGACCGTTAACGTCAAGTTAGCGGGCAGCTAAACGTGCCGGTCAGGCTCGGTAAGTAAGAAGGTCACTTACAGTGTTTAACTCTACCCCAGGAGAAACTGACTAAATATCAACTTAAACTACCGTTCTTTAGGATGAAATATGGGGGAAAACGTGCCTGTTACCAGATGTGCTGAAGACCCCAGTCAGTCACGCGACACTTCCGCTGTCCACCGTCAAAGTAAACACATTAAAACGTTACACTTCCTGCTATAGTTTTCAAAATAATATGTCTATTTCTTGCACTGTTGATTGTTGTTTATTGTTCAATGTTATTGTCTAATGTTATGTACCACCTGCCATGACAAATTCCTTGTATGTTACATACATTGGCAATAAACGGTTCTGATTCTGCTAAATCCTGATATTCGCTTGAATTCAGTCACCTTACATCGTGTTAGAGTTACGTTCAGTGACATTCAGCCAGTCCAGTTTAATCTCATTCCACCTCACACAAGTGGACAGTACACAATGTAGCACAGTAGGCTACCTTTAGCGCTACAGTACAACAAAACAAAACACTGAAATAACTACGCAAAAATGCTAATTTCAGTATTAATGCGTGGTATTTGCTGCAATTTTAGATCAGGAACTGTAAGATTTACAGAAATATAATGGGTAAAGGAGCTTGTCTGTCATGAAGAAATAAATATTGATAAATGTTGAACAATACAGATGATTAATTGCTCAGTTTAGTGAATCATTGGGAGTTTTGCATGTGGTATATTGTGCAAATGATCATGTTAACCTAATGTCAATACTAATCATGTCTGTATGTAGTCTTTGACAGCAGGTAAAATGGCAGAAGACAGTTTTTGTTAGTTTATTTAAATTATACAATATATGGTAACATACATATATTGAACCAAATTGCTTTAAATTAATTAAATCTGAGTTCTTAAACATTTACCAGTTACTAAAAACTTTTTTTTTTAATTCTTATTTTAGAATCAGCTATTATATTGAAAAACAAGTACCGGATGTAGTGACACATCCTTCAACGAAACAAAGGCTTCTTGTCAATTTCAATTCCGACTGTGCTATAGGCCCATAAGACTGGAAGGTTGCTGACCCCTGCTGAGCACTGTCGGTACTACGTGACAATATTGCTGTACAACAAAAAGGCACTATCTTGCCTAATATTAGGCATTATCTCGTGAGGGAGTTGTTCTTTCTAACTAAAGTCACGAGTGACTAGACATTTAAATGTGGTCAACGGCCAATTGACTTGCACCTTATCCACGTCATCTGCTTCCACAGTGAATGTGAGGAAGTGTGTTCAACATACTGTGTTGATGTGAAGCCAGATGGAGGTGGTTTTATTAAGTTTGAAATATGAAGGAAAGGATGAAGAGGGCCTCCATCAGCTGTAGTGAGGACATTTAATGAATTGTTGAATATACTAGAGCACTGCAGTTTTGCAAACAAAACAAAAAATGTATGGTTAAAAATTTAATTCTGACCACTTAAAAAAGAACAAAAAACAAAACAGTGAAAATCAGAATCTTTCTCCGTCTTCACGGTCATCTCTACACAGAGGGGTCAGAGGTCACATAGAGGGTTTGGTGTCGTATTTGTCGAGCTCTTGAACAAGCGGGCCCTTTGAGCAGGTGTAGGTAGTATAGGCTACTGGCTGTTGCTGGGATCTGGTCAGTGGAGCAGTTGAAACCCCTAGAGGGCACTCTGCTGCAAGATGTGGCTGCGTTGAAGCGTAATGGTGGATACTCCTTGCAGTGTAGAGTTGCAAGAGTATGGTAGTATAGAATATTTGATTGGAAATCAAAGTAAGAACACAACTTGAAGATGTTCTTAACATATAGGACTGATGGTGTGTCTAATGATGAAAGAGTAGCAGTCATGACTTACTCTCGTTATATTTGCCCTATACATCACTGGTAAATAGTGACCGGAAGGACGGAGAGTAATGAGCTCTAGTCGTCACACTGCTGAGTGCGTAGGCAGAGGGGAGAAAAACCGCAGACAGAGATTGGTACCCCGCCTCTTTTTCCAGGAACCATGCACACACCAGAGTTGTCAATGCTTATGTTTTACTGCAGTCACCTTTTCCCCACTGGGTGGCTCCCAGTGTTGGTTAGAAATAAGTGCATTGGTCAGCTGTAGCATTTCCTCAAAAGATTGAGAAATGAAGGTTGTAGAAACAGCAAAGGCATATTTGAAAATAGAGCATCAAGGTGCTCTTCAGCAGTGAGATGGCTGGTTTCAGTACTGAAGTGTTTGTCAAGAATACTCAGTGCTTGAGAGACAAACATGCTGTATTCACTCAGTCGTAATTTAGAGAATCTCTGAAACCATCCTGACGAATAAAGTTATTATTGGAATTGTGAGATTAAGGATACGGCCAGTAGTTGAGGAAAAAAGGCTTGTGTGACTTTATATTGTCTAGCGTTGGTATGAAGCACGTCTTATTTATGTCCGATAAATGAGATGCGGAGAAGATATGACGCACAAAATCTTTATCAGAAATTTAAATAAAACAGGTAAACAATCCATCCAAACCAGACGTGCACTAAAGAGGATAATAAAAAAGTACACAGCAAAAATCACAGTGCATACTGTGCTCCACAAGTGGACATTAAACACCTGTTATCCTAGTACTATTACAATTATTAACTTTGGACACAACTTCTTAGAAATAAGCTTCACCTTTTGAAATCGTTAAACATTTATTACTTTTAAATGGCTAATGCACATGTTTACATTTCAGGGTACATCTACTTTGAAATGATTTAAATACATGGCATTAGCTAAAGTATAATGTTATATGAACCGGCTCTTCTTATGCAATTAATGTAGAACCAATAAATAAAAATAAAAAATAAAAAAATTTAAAATTGCATATTTTGTGCACTTTTGAGGCAACCGAGTGGTAGTAGAGTTAAAGAATAGTTTAAAAAGGGCAAAGAGGGCAGGAGGAGGGAGAGAACTGCAGCAGTGATGCAGACAAAGACTGCTGGTAGCAGCCAGGGAACACCAGGTCCAGGTGTTCCCATTTAGCACTGACGATCCCCTGCCATCTGGAAAACAAGTAAGGAAGGCAGGGGTCGTCACAATACGTAGTCGCTTCAAAGTATTCAGACCCCTTCACTTTCTCCACACTTGATTGTGTTTGACAACATTTACTCCCCCTCCTCCCAACAATCCACACTCAATAATCCATAATGACAAAGTCAAATTAAGCTTTCAGCAAATGTATTAAAAATCAAAAACAGAAATCTGTCATTTACCACAGATGGAGCGGGAACACTCGTTGCATAAGAAATGGTTTCGTACCCTTGCGATATACAGAGAGTTCCTTGGACTTCATGGCTTGTTCACTGTGAATTTGGGATCTTATATACGCAGGCGTGGGCGTCTCTAAACTAAGTCCACAGGTTTGCTTGCCACAGCACAGGTGGACTCCAATCAAGTTAGACACCTCTCAAGGATAATCAAAGTTAACTGAATGCACCTGACCACAATCTGGAGCCACAGCAAAGACTCTGAATACTTTAATGAATGAGAGATTTCAGTTTTTGGGATTTTTAAAAAACACGTTTTCACACGTTAGATCGATGGGGGGAAAAGTGTATATTTCATTAATTTAAAACTCTATTTACAACACATTCCGGTGTGCAAAAAATGAAAGGGGTCTGATTACTTTCTGAAGCTATGCACTGTACCTCACATTCAAATCATGCCAGCCCACAGTAGCTACAGTACAGTACAGCACAGTACAGCAGTGTTAGTGTGGTGGGTAAGCTTAAACATAAAGCCACTGTGGGGATGCCAAGATAGTTTTGTAACACAGCATTCTGTCCGTGATCCCCAGAGGGCTCCGTAGATTACGGAGTTGTATTCTGCAAAAGGAATTGGAAAGTTGTGTCTATTTATAAAAAGCTCATCGTATAAGGCCATGTTCATCAAACATAGACAAAATGTTGGCAATAGTTCTTTGGACTTAAGATATCAAAGAGATGTATTCCTTATTGCAATATTATCATTATTCCATAAGAAAGTTTTGTGAGGAGAAAAGTTGGAGATGAAGCATGACTTCCCGGCAAGAAGGGATTGCTGATGAAACTTAGATAAAGAAAGTTTGTTAGATGAGTACTTAAAGTTTAAAACAAAAGAGAAACTGCCATTTTCTTTTAAAAGAAAATATAGTGATGGATGAAGAACACAAAGAATTTGTGTTTGTCAGGCATTTTGTTGAGCAAATATATTTTTAAAAGGGTTTACAGTACGGATGAATGTAAAACCTCCCTTCTCCCCCCGCATGAATGTTAGCAGGGAGGCTACCACCTTTCTAAATTGGTGAATTTAACGTTAAGGAATAACTCGTTGATTTTATTACAGTAGCTGTAGGTGCTCCCCTTCGCT